TACTTTGTTGTTTTATTCCCTACCATACTATGATGTTTTTACGAACTTTTATGCCCTAATACAAAATCATGTTTTTGTGACATTTTTTACCTCACCATATTATTTCGTTTACATCACGTTTTATGCCTTACTATAATATGTTGTTGTCATGACATTTTAAATGACTTACCATACTATCACGTCATTAAGTCTTACTATACTATGACTTTTTTTGTGGCTTACTATGACATTACACATGAATTCAGAAAGTTGCTGATAAAAAATGCTCCCTATTCTTTCTTCTTAGATTTGAAGAAACTCCTTTCGCTGTGACTCAAGTGAATTGCGCCTTGCACGGATAGAAGTTGTGTTGACAACAATAAGAATCTACCTGAAACAAACCAACCTTTGCATCCTGTTTGATGCTATATCCTGTGTTTGATCGCCGACATGAAACAACACAAACACATTGAACAGTAAAACAGGCACTTGAAAGGGACAATATTGTCAAAGACTGGGGACATATTGAGTGACAGCTTTTTAGCTCTTTGAGGCCTTTGCTGTCTTGCTTGGCATCAAGCTGATGTCTCCTCACTTTGTCTCAGATGTGAAGCTCCTGTGATTGTGACAGCAGTTGTAACCTTGAAATCACAAGTGTACCTTCATGGAAATGAAGGTTGATTGTTGTGTCATGGTGTTCAATAGAAAAGACATTATCAATTCATGGGGATCTGTGGAAAACATCTTTATTTCTAACAATACAGAGTCCTCGGCATATCATACTTGCGCATTCCAAGGCTTTTGGTTTTTGATGGAAAACATGCTGGTATCCTTATTTGCATTTTACCTGAGAACACAGATGCAATCTGTTAGATTTAAATTTCACCATGTCAACCATTATAGTCATTATGATCTTTTGTGTTGAAATGTAAGTGATTTAATAAAAAGTCCAAAAAAAAGCTGCTGAAAAAAAATGTTTAAGTAGTCCACACATGATGTAAAATAAGCGGAAAAGTATTCCACTGTCATTATGAATATTCTTCTTCTGCCTCAATTCCACACATACAAAAGGAAAAGAGAAAAAAGCTTGAAGTAGTAGTGTTTTATTCATCTTTATGTAAATCCAGTCATTTACGGTTGCCTTAACAAATCAGGAATCAAGTGTGTCAACATCTAGCAGAGAAGAAAGTGCATATGGGGATTACAAAAGAACAGAAACAGAACAAAACCAGGCCGAGGGAGAAACTCTCCATCAGTTTAAGTCTACAAATCCTGACAAGGGTAAAATGAATGTGTTTTTAATTGTCTCTATATGCTGTAGAAAGTTTACAGTTCTACTCAAACCCGAAGCTCAGTAAGCTATTGTTCATATCTGAGTGACAGTGTGTGGAGGCTGAGCCCAGAACTGGTTCACACCATAGAAAAATACCCTGGTTATTTGCATTTTTAACTGTACACTAATGAGTTCCTATAGAATAGATGAAAAAGATCAACTCTCCCTTACCAACTTCTACTGGCCGTGGTTATAGGCCCAAACCAGATAATTTCTTTACATCCTACACCGCTAAGAAAGATAAATCCCTCATTGCATTGCTACATAGCTAATGTTACAAGTATATGCTCAAAATCAATATTAGGCTAAGTAAATCCTATACAGTATTTATATATATATATATATATATATATATACTGTATATATATATGTATGTATATATCAGATCAAATAATGGGATTAGGGTATCTGATAACCACAGAGCAGATAAACATTTCTTTAGTTAATTCTGGGTCAATTACAGGTTACTAATTGGATGGCAATTACTAACCACTTAAGGCAACATTTCCTCTTACCTATCATCAAGGTAGTTGTGGTTAATATTCTGATAATGTGACCCAGGATTTTTGGGTAAAGGCAACTTCTATTTCAAGCACTGTTTAATTCATTCTGTGATGACTCAAGGTAATGCTCAGTCAACGGTAAATCTATGCATGGCAATAAAAGCAGCATTGATCCCAAGTCATACGGATGTTCATTTCAGCTTCCCCCATCATACGTACTCTATATCCAGCTGAAAAAATAAGGTAAGGTTCTCAATGTAAACATGCACTTTTAGAATATAATCAATGCTGTTTTCCCACCATAAATCTTCCAGGGTTTTGACTGGTTCTGGCCTGAATCTTTCTTCCGTACCATGACAATGTGCATATTGAGTCACAGCAAAGAGCTCTGTCCTTCAAATGGAGCCTTGTCAACAATCTCAATTTATATGAATCCATAAATGCCTTTAACACTGTACTCAACATCCAAGAAACGAAGAAAAAAAAAAAACAACAACAAAAAAAAAACAACATTACAGATTTCTCAAAATGCCTCTAGTGAGGTCTGAAGCCCAGGCAGTTCAGTTGTCTTCCAGGCTGAAGTGTTCAGATGTTGCCTCCAGATATCCAAGTTTCTGCTGTCTTGTGTGATCTCACTGCAGCAGTTGAGTTCAGTTTGGAGAAAGTCAACACCTCAGTGGACTGACAGGGGCGAGGTGCTCTGGAACACCTTTGCCAGTTTGGGCAACAAACCTTACTTAATCTATTTTCATTCAAAATAACTCTGGTCCAAACATCACTGAATTTCTCTGACAGTCTTAATGATGCCTTTTTTTTTTTGTTTGGATCTTTTTCATGTGTTCAGGACCAGAATGCATCCTTCTCATGCATCTTTACCTCCTCTCCATTCATCCAAGGTGATGCAGAGAACTTAAAATGTAAGAGGCTTAATACTCGATTAACTGAGTAAAACTCACTTATAGTAGAAATCAAATAACACTTAATAGTGCACTGCTTTGCACCAAAACAAACTACACACTCAAGGCTCTGGTCAAAGAAAGTACACTATATTGTTTGATGTAATCTGACTTATAGCCAATGATGATGAGGACTATAACCTATGACTGGTAGGTGTCTAACGTCTCACATAATTATAAAACACCAGGAGGCCCATATTTTACTGAAATTTTCAAATAAACCAGTTGATGGACTGGACCTCAGTCTGTGAGTGTGTAGCTACATGTTCACATGCATGTTTGAACAGTGGATGAGAAGCAAACATGATTGAGCTGCAAATATTGTATGTGTCTGTACACAAAAAAGGGCCTCTGTGTAGCTGCATGTGTGTGTGTGTGTGTGTGTGTGTGTGTGTGTGTGTGTCCAGCAGTAGCTATGAAGTGTTCGATGTGTTGGGGCTCCAGCCCATTTGATAAGCTCTCTCCAGGGTTCTCTTGCAGTCCTGCATCACAGTGCTGAACACGATGTGAGGGTACTGGACCACCAGCCTCTCCACTGTCTCCTCGTTCACCTACAAAACACACACACAAAGACACACAATGTTAACATTATGACCACCTTGATGACAATGACTTTAACAATAATTATTACTTCTTTATTTTTTTTTACATTAGTGGATGTTCACATACATCACACAGTCATGGAACTGTGGATATTCTCTCCGTTAATTTGAGAACTTGTAGTACTTCTCACTGATGTAAGCTTAAAAGAACAGTGGGAAGTTTAATTATCTACACTCCCATGATGATTCAGAAAATTATGTCTGTTGATGATGAACATGTGAATGGCTGAAAGCTCAGAAACAAGTGAGTGAGGAATGACTACAGCAAGCAAAACCTGTTTTAATGATGATATGGGCACCTGACTATTTAGGACAGACTTGAGAAAATTTGAACCAATCTGTTAAAAGATACTGGGCAAGTTGGTTGATTGGTTGGTTGAACTTCTTGTGAGAGGTTATTGGTTGTTGTAGCTATTGTTAATTTTTAGGCAGTTGTTAAAATTGCAATATTAGTACATTCCAGTAGGTGAAAAAAACATACTATTGGTAATTAGGTCCATAGTCTGGCTCTACATCAGTCCGACACACTGAACATATCATGATTTGTGTAAGTCAACAATTCAAGCACTGTATTTCAGAATCATTGACTCAGTATCAGAACATCCTCAGGGAGTCCTGAGTAGATATATTAAAAAAAAAAAGATAATCAGCTCAAAATCATATAAATGTAGCAGAAACAGTGCTTTAGGTTGAATATAAATACATATGTATAACAACAGATTTTTTAATTAATTTAAAGTCATTTAAAAATCTGTGCTCTGCACCGCCCCATGATGCCTTATTAAGATACTCAGAAACACAGATTGGATGTTAGTGTTCTGTCAAAATGGCAGTGTACTACACTAATATGAAGGGTAGGCAATTTCTTAAGAGCATACAGTGTATGCACATACTGTATGCACACATACACAACTGTGACTATGGCGATGGGTTCAGCAGCAGAGGACAGCTGATCTCACCGGGCTAATGAGGCCTTCATGTTCTCAGAGGACGAGAAAGACAAGCAGCTAATGGCCTCACCAGCACTTCTTTGCCAGTCTAACACTCTGTCAGACCATCACTGAGAGCCAAGGGTGAGAAAGCCTGAGAATCTGACAAAGAGCAGAGGCAGAGTAACCCTGGAGACCTCGAGGGGTTAACCGCAACCCACCCAGAACCAACCCCCGCCCACCCGCGAATGTGACACTTTCCAGGGGAAATGATGTATAAACACTCACACACATGTTGAGCACACAGTCATCCGTTGTTGCCAAAGCAGTGACAAAGTATTTCACAGTTTTCCCTGAGTTCACTGCCCGGGAGCCCTTTGGTTTCTGTGTTTTCTGGAAGAAAAGTCTTGCATGGTAAGAGTTACCTGGCTTTTGCTCAGGTTGTGATCTGTTGCGGTTGTCATTTTCTGTCTAATTCTTTCATTCTCCTCACTGAGCACAATTTCTTTAAGTGCTGGGTATCAGCAGTTCATTGTCAAGTAGAGAAATTGAGAAAACAATGGACAGACGGACAAAAAGAGAGTCAGGATAAAACCTGCAGAATTCGAGTGAAATAAGTGTGCTTGAGCGAACAGACCATGATGCCTCTCGGGTCACATAAGGAAGATGGAAACTCTGCACAGCACCAGTGAATCCAATAAGACTAAAAGGCAACAACAGCCTGTTAGCATTCACTTTGATTGCCAGGAAGAAGCAACAAGCTGGAATTCAGGTGCTTAATGCCAACACACAGAGGCTTAACAGACACTTTCTGAATACCACTGATAGAGAAAGAATAAAAATAAAATCAATACCGCAGGGTCAAGTCTTTCTTATTTTTAGCTGCTTTTTGTTTTTCTGATCAGATGCTAAGAGAAAATTCTGAGAATAAGCGCCAAAAAACAGTCTTATATCAGTTCTGTCTCCAGTCAGGGTTGAAAGCTTTGAAATTTGAACTAATATTCTGACACCACAAACGCTGGAAGGGTGCATTAAATCTGCGGGTAAGAGTGGAAATGAAAGAGTGGAAAATCCTGCAACACCTTCAGTGCTGCGATCAAAGATTCGTTAGTAAAGCCGATGCATTAATAAAACAGTGATTCAGGATACTGCCTTAAAGAATTCACATTATTTTTATTATTATTATTATTATTATTATTACTATGAGATAAAGTGAGCATTTCAACTGCCAAACAAGCCATCTCATTCCCTCTGGTACTGAGAAGATCCAACTGAACAAGTGATTTCATGAGATTCACTGGCTGAGCCGAAAGTAACCTGTGGAACGCTTTTTACGGGCACAATTACAGTACGTTTCCACCCACAGGTTTTTAAGCGCATATTGAATTGCATAAAAAAAAAAAACTTGAGTAGAAACGCTGGAAATTTATGGAGAAAAAGTGTTAATATCACAATGTTTTTACACTTGGTCGAGGTGGAAAAACAGAATGTGACAAGTACAATGGAAACAGACTCCGTACATGAAACATGTGACTTAAGCTTCCACTCAAGAGGTAAAAAATAGCAGCAGAAAAAAACATCTACTTCTGCAAGGCTATAACGGCACCCGATGAGCTGACAATTAATATTTAGATAACAGTAGTGGGTGGAAATGTGCATTTTCATTTTCTTTTGCAGATTTCCTGAAAATGATGTTCAACTTTGTATTAAGTTTGGATGTAAACTTGACTTATGACATGAGATTTTGACAAGCTGCTGCAACAATGGGGCATTTTCATTGTTTGGCTGCGTCTGCTGCTTCTCAGTGCCTCAGTGATACTTGTTATGGGATTTGACCCGGGTGTCTGACCTCACTACTAACTTGAATCATCATCTGAGAACTTTTCGTTGACTGTGGTCTGTCAAGTCTTGGATCCTTTTCAACAAATTTAGCAACCGGCTCCAAAAAGCGAGCATTAGCTTTTATGTTGGATCACCCTCACAGCAAGTTTTTCCTCCTTTCCTTAAATTTCTGGGGGCCTTTATTAGGATGTGGTAATGGAGAGATGACAGGAAGTGAAGGAGGGTTAGGGTTTCATGGTCAGCATCTTAAGCTCTAAGCCACAGGGACGACCCCACACCTGCTTTTTTTTTCCAGACAAAGACCTGCGTTTTGCCTGCAAAAATGGCCGCATGTTGCCTTCAAAGAGGACCAACGCAGAAACAGAAGAGCAGCTTAACCAAAGGCCTCCAAAATCTGCTACTACAGAGAGGAGTTAAGTTTGTTATGACATATGGCTGAGCCTCATTAGCAGATAAAATGACAAACCCCTGATTGCCTTCATAACATATTACACTATATTCTTGAAAAGAGAATGAAACATCCCCCAGCTCGTTAATCAGGGCTTAATTGCAATTAAAAGAGATCTAAAGAATAGACCTGTCATACTGATGGGAGGCCATAACATTCATTAATGCTAATTTAGTGCGGCTCCACTTGCTGAGCAAACACTGCACACACAAAATGGCTCCCAATCAAAATGCTGAATCATTTCTTAATTGCTGGTTGCGGCATCGCTAAATGTTAGAGTTGCAACACGATCACTTTGATGGAAATCATGAAAAGACTAACTATTGCACTGACCTGTGCCGCTCTTGCTGACAATACTGCATGTGCAGAAAAAAAACTTGCATAATATTAATCTCTTTGTGCGTTTTTGTTTTTGTTTTAGTTGAAATGTAATTACTGTGACATACAACAGGTGTTAAGTGATTGGAATTCAAACATGTTATTATGACAGAGGCAAAAGCCAAACAAGACTGAGGAAAAAAAATTATTCAACTATCAATCAAAATCGAGCCTGTATACATTTTAAATGGTTACTACACAGCGCAGAAACTCCTGGTACCTGGTTTGAGATTTATTTGAGATGGTTGGCATCTTTATAACTTATTGTTCTTCAACAGAAAATCCTGTTGACAGAGGCATTTATACATCATAGTATCCATTAACCCCCCCCCACTGCACTGCACTAGCCTGATAACCACAGTTACTGTACATCTTCTCAGGCCCAAAAACAACAGCTCCCTGTGAAAGAAACCCTCTCCTAGTCAGTTCCCAGAGTTCACAGCTACATTTCTCTTTCCAGAACAAGGCTACGTGCCCTTTGCATGGCTCTGTGGTATGTTGAATGAGATGTGATGACATCACCACACCTGCTTGGTATTTGCAGCTCAGAGCTGATGTTAGACATGAAGGTCAGACCAAATGCTGTGGGTAACTTGCTGGCAGAGAGGAGAGTACTCTGGTTACAGCAGTTGAGCCACTGATTTCTTCAAACCAGTGATTCAGCTGTTTCTTTCTAGAGTGACATTTTGTTACTGGGCAAAACTGTGCTTAACAATATTTTGTTGCTAAGCAACATAAGCTTAAAAACGCTATCAGAAAGCACTGGGGGCTCTGGAGGCTGGAATGGCGCTTTAGATATATGGCTCTGGCAGGGAGCTCTTTTCTCTTCTTTTCTTTTACCCCATACAGTCCTGATCCAGTGTACTGTACTGCTCAACCCCGCCTCCAAAACCTGCTGCCAAGTCTGTAGAAGAGCCATATGATAGAGCAGATCGCTACCCACTGATGATTCTAATCTTTGAGAAGCATCTGGGAGCGCAGCCACTGCTATCTGGAGCAAGGCCTATACTTATGATATTTTCCCCCATTTTAACTTCAAAGATGCTGTCCTGTAGATCTAAGTGTGTTGTAATGCATGCTGACAGGTAATGTGCTGTTGTCAGGGTTTACAAGAGGGCGAGAGAGGGATGAGGGGAAAACAAAAAGATATATGTCTGATATGCCATTCAGCAAAAAGCACCTTTTATTTGAACATGCTGTACAGTAAACATGAATAGTTTATAGGGTTGTGTGTGTGTGTGTGTGTGTGTGTGTGTGTGTGTGTGTGTGTGTGTGTGTGTGTGTGTGAGTGCTTGTTGACAACTGCTCCTCTACTTTTACACATAAAGGCTGAAGGTAAGTCCCCGAGCTGA